CCCCCCCCCTTTTTCCATCAATGAATGGAACGTTTAAGATTGTTCATACGCTGTAATCGCATCACGTGACCACCACGAGCGCCGCCGTTTAAATCGCTCATATGTAACATTCTCCCTGGTTAAATAAGGCTTAATTATCACCCCCTGCGCTCAGAAGGGTCTCACCCTCACTCGTGAAATCCGCTCACGCTCACAAGATCATGAGCACCGTGGACCCAAGAGCTCCTCTCTGAATCGCAGATTTAATTGCCTGCTCTCCTCTCTCTCTTTTCTCCTTCCACCTCCTCATCCCCCTTATTCCGTTGCAACCGTCTCAATCTCCAGATGAAATTGAATAAAAATAACTTGGCTAAAAAAGAGGGGCAGAAAGAAGGAGCGAATAAATAATCCTGTCCCTGTCTCCTATGGCCCAGAGACAGATCAACTGGGAAGAGCTTTAAGCAAAGCTTATCTGTTGTGTTTCTGAGAGGCTCTGACTGATTTCCTCCAATCAAAGGCGTCTGTGAGCATTTGGTCTCGCCTTGCTGCTTTTCATTTCCCTGAGCTTAATTAAATGATGGAAGATAGTCGGCTTTCTGTTCTCGGAGTCCCCTCGCTGTTAATATTGTCAATATCAGAAGGCCGAGCTGCGCGCTGGTTAACATAAAGCACATTAGCGCTGGGTTTCATTAGCGCCTCTCCGTTCTCTCTGTCTCCCATTCTTTTTCCCTTTTGTCCTCACGACGAATGTTATCTTCTCCCTAAGCCGTGTTTCTGTTTGCCACTGCACTCTGTTTCCGCTCTTATTCCTAGTTCAGATTGGCCCGACGGCCTGAGGGCGGATAAGCCTGGCGGAGAGCTGAGATGTAGCGATGGAGGCCTAAGCAAGCATGTCTTTCCTTTCTCGCTTAGCTGTCCTTCTCCTCTCTTCCCCTTCCTTCAGGTGACACCCTCCTCTAAGATTGTGGGCGATCTGGCGCAGTTCATGGTGCAGAATTCTCTGACTCAGGCAGAGGTGGAGGAGAGAGCGGATGAGTTGTCTTTCCCCCTCTCTGTGGTGGAGTTCCTGCAAGGACACATCGGCATCCCCCATGGAGGCTTCCCGGAGCCCTTCAGATCAAAGGTACCACCTGCACAGCGCAATTTTCTTTTTTATTATTATTTTAATGTTATTTTAGTACATCAAGTTACTGAACAAGAAAAATGACTATATAAATGAATAGGTTGTAGTTTTTGTTATCTATAATAACCCTGGAATCACATGAATCAGAATCAGAATCAGAATGAGCTTTATTGCCAGGTATGTTTACACATATGAGGAATTTGTTTTCGTGACAGAAGCTTCCACAGCGCAGACGGGGGAAGCGAGCCGGCGCGCTCGTGAAGCTCAGGCAGTCCTGAAGCGTTTGATCAGCGCCGCAGCTCCCCCGGCTACAATGTCCAGCAAAACATCAGAATAGTCGAAAACCGGTGAAATATCGGGTGGTGTGTACTGCCGAATGTCCAGCAATTCGTCTCTGGTGAAACTGATTGCAGGGATATAACTAAAGACAGGACAAACTAACAAAAACATAAAAACAACTGCGGAACACGCCACGGAGGCAGCCATCAGTTTCGGCGCCATCACTGAATATCGTGAAGACGTGTGACTGATGTAACTGAATTACAAACAATAAACTTTACAGCTACAGGTTTGCAGCATTGCATGAAAGTGAGGTAGATTGTCTATTTTTATATTCTGGCTTTATTATTATGTTAAATGTTGAATTTCTGGTGCCACAGAGCATGATCTGTTGCAGTGTCATAGAAAACTTTGCATGTTCAAAGTCTAGCTTGACTGGCCCTTAACTCAGAATCATATCCTATCTGTTTAATAACCATGGTGATTTCACTTAGGAAATAGAAATTTTCCAAAGCTTTAGTCAGAAATTAAGATAGGAAGTTTCTGTAATACTGCCCCAGGGTTAGAAATATGGAATTACTGTCTTGTATGGGGCCAGAGTTTTGCTTGAAGATGAAAGGGTCAGATGAAGGATTTAGAATTTATTATTTAAATGACTAAAGTTGAACTTGAGTGTAAGTCTCTGCTCAACTTGAGCTTGAACCTGTTTGGTACAGTATTGCAGGAATACAAGTTATTGAATATCTCTGCGGTGAGCAAAATAAGCTTCAGCTCTCTCGCTGAAGAGATTCGGTTGATCGCAGTGAAGTCTGTCTTGAGAGGGTTTCCCTACAGTCTCTAGAGTGCATTAACACTGTGTTGTGCTTGTCAGAGATACGCAAGGCAAAACCATGTCATTCCTTTTGTCTTGAATGCCCCAATTACCCAGCAGCCATTCCTGTGCAAGATTAGCAGTTTCCCTGACAAATGTGTCTCACATCAGAAATGAACAATGCCTGCGTTAAAGCTTTTCTGCGCATGCAAGTATGCAGCTAATTTATTTACAATGCCTCTTTTTCAGAATTAGTAGGCCATCTGCTTTGCATGTAATTTAGATAACAAACATATTTGAGCAAAGTGGCCTTATTTTTTCCCCATCTGTTTTGTAACATTAATATTGTTCGTCATTATGCAAGCGTTAAAAATAGTTTTATTTAGGTCTGTGGTGTTTCTTTGTTTTGCCGAATCAAAATTTACATTTTGTCATTTCGAGTTTAATTCTTGGCTTCTCGCACTTGATTCTTCAGCCTCTTAAATTCATTTAAATGAAGCGATAGGGAGAGATTAATCCTGCTCCTGGTAATGATCGGTTATAAATATTCTCGGATTCAGTGTGGGGCTCAGGGGGATTGCAAACGCTCTACATCATCTACTTACGAGCAGCTTGAAATTACAGCGAGGAAATATACGTTTATTGTGTGTTCAGGCACCTGCTCTTTTCTCAGGTTCTCATCACTTATTTGTGGCACAGGTTTTGAAGTCTCTTCCCCGTGTGGAAGGACGTCCTGGAGCCTCCCTGCCCCCCATGGACTTCCAGGCCTTGGAGAAGCAGCTGCGAGACTCTCACGGTGATGAAATCACCCCGGAGGATGTGATGTCCGCGGCCATGTACCCCAAAGTGTTCCAGGAGTTTAAAGAGTTCACCAGAACCTTTGGGCCTGTGGATTGTCTGGACACTAGACTCTTCCTGGATGGACCCAAGATTGCTGAAGAGTTTGAGGTGGAAGGATTTATTTTTTTAAGAAATAAAACATTTCCAGTTATTAAACAGAAGTAGCATCACATTTTTATTTGCTGTTACTGTGCCATAAATCTTCCTGTCATCCATGATTATAAGTGTCATTTCTACATTCCAGCCGTAAGTTCCTTATTTCCTCTCCCTCATATCTCTGCTGTCTGTCTCAGGTGGAGTTGGAGCGAGGCAAGACGCTTCATATCAAGGCTCTGGCTCTAGGAGACCTTAATAAAGCCGGTCAGAGAGAGGTTTTCTTCGAGCTCAATGGTCAGCTGAGATCTGTCCTGGTCAAAGACACCGTGGCTATGAAGGTGTTTTTCTGTCTTTTTTCTTTTAGTGAAATTTGGCTAAGTTTTGTATCAACTGCTAGAGAGTGGAGTGACAAGAAGTAAATTATGTAAATTATGTAAATAAAACTGGTACAGTCGTGATTTTATGAGCCATATCCAGTGTCCTGACAGCACTATTGTCGAGATGGGATTTTTCTGTACAGATTTTACTACCACATGAAACCAGCCATTAGTTTCAGTTATAGGTTTATTATAGTTTAGATTTTTTACATTTAGTTTTTATTTCTTTTTTCTATTTAGTTTATTTAGCTTGTTTTAGTTTGCTAGGCTGCCATAGTTAATGTGCTAACTGATATTTGTTAATAAATATTTAATGTGTAGCCTTCATATGTAACTCCATACTGTATGTATGTGTTAAATTTCACAGTATAGTCTAGTGTAATTGCGGTCTAGTGGCATTTTTATATTTAAGTTTTCTTATACACCATGTATACAAAAAATTACATTGTGGACTTTTTTTTGTTGTTGTGTGTATATGTGTATATAAATATATACATAAATGTGTGTGTGTGTGTGTGTGTGTGTGTGTGTGTGTATATATATATATATATATATATATATATATATATGTATGTATATGTACACGCACACAAATTAAAAAGATAAATAGAATACACTTAAAAATAAATTAAAATAAATAAAGTGTGTCCTCATAAACCATATATATTCAGCATGGTTGTATTTCCTGAGAATAGTTGGTTAAATAAATGCAATGTGTAAATGAAACCGATGTCCCTGCCAACCCAAATCAAATTTTGTCAAAATCAAAAACTTCCCTGTTTTTGCAGGAGATGCATTTCCACCCTAAAGCCCTGAAGGACGTTCGTGGACAGATTGGCGCTCCCATGCCTGGTAAGGTGGTGGAGGTGAAAGTGAAGCAGGGCCAGAAGGTGGAGAAAGGACAACCGCTCTGCGTCCTCAGCGCCATGAAGATGGAGATGGTGGTGAACTCGCCGCTCTCCGGCACCGTGGCCAAGATCTACGTGACCGCCGACAGCACTCTGGAAGGAGACGATCTTATTCTGGAGATTACCGAATAGATATCATGAAGGCCAACAGCAGGGAACATAACACATCACCACTGCCAATCCCTGCAAGGCTAAACACACACACATTCACTCAGTTACATATGGAGTCTAACACCTTTTAGAAGCAGCATGCATTAAAGGAGGAAGGTTGAGCTTATTTTGACAGAATCTCGAATAACGGATGAATCTAGAAATATTTTTACTTTCAAGCTTGAATCCTTTGCCTTTAGTGTCATATGTGTGGTTTTGTGATCCTCAATCACCATTAAATTCATACGTGATGAGGATATGAGCTAGTGTTATGCTGTTGACAGAGAAATGTTTGTTAGTCTTTAATATTAATGAATGTAGTAAAAACTAAAAGATTTACACTGAAAATATAAGCAATAAATTAATGACAGAAAGAGACTTAATTAGATGCATTCCTAATCACGTTAAAGCTGTTTCATAACTGATCGTGATCGTTTACATAAACTCAAATATTCTTACATACATTTTCTATAACTGGAAAGAAATTCTCAAAAAATCATGCACAATCCTTCCCTTACATATAAAAGTCTTATTGCACAGAGTATCTTACTTGAATTATCAAGCGAAATTCAATTTATTTCAAGATACATAGCTGTGTCACACATACCCAATGTTCTGACCAATGGCCCAGTCTGTTACTGGGAAAATAAGTGCAAGAATGGAACCAACCTCGTCTCCTGAGCCTTACACTTGAGCTGTGTATCATGTAAAGGTGGAGAATAGTTACCCAGGTGGTTTGGGCTGAAGTGAGCTCCATTGAGGCCAACGAGGATCGATGACTCTATATTCAAGAGCACTCATAGACTCCGCAGCAGCTTTGGGGCACATTGAGTTGGAACACAGGCTTTAGGGGGAACGTCCTTTTCCCAGGGCGCATCTTGTGCTTGTGTTCCAATTCCTCTCTTAATGTGAATTTATTTCACTGTCCTGTTACATTCCCCTTAGCAGCAGATGCCTCATGGCTGCTGTAGTGACGGCTTTATTCTCCAGCTTTGTCTAATTTCCCTTGTTGAACACGATTGATGTAATTCGTAACAGATAAGGAGAGGTTTTATTCAATGGCATTCGAGTAATTGAAAGCACTCAGCCTGAAATCTACGAGACACGCGGCTGTTGCGGCAAAAGAGGTCCACTGGGGTGCGTCTGAAATGGTTTTAACAGTCTTGACTCTAAGTAGACCAATTCTTCATGAGGACCAATAGCCTGCAACGTGGATATATTCTCATCGTTTATCATAACATCCCAAAGTGGAGACTAGAGCGTGTCGTTTTAACCGTGTGAATCGTACAGGCCCATAAATGTGACGATCGTCCCTTCAAATGGATGTTGCCATTAAAATCGAGCTAATGTTGTTTAGATGTAGTTTTTAGAGCACAAACGTCCATTTCATCACCACAGTCATTTTTGAGATTGTTCCTCTGTGTTATTTGACAAATACATCTCAGTTTACACGGGCATAGCACAAAGGGGTTTATCGTGACAGGCACAAAACTAGGGGATTTGTTGGGAGAGGGAAGCTTCCTGTTGGCTTTTGGACTTTTCAGTATGGGCCACTGGCAAAATCTCTGGAGAACCGTTCGATGTTATCAGCTCTGACAGCGCAGCGCGATTCCGTGAGAGTTTTTGAGTCGAGAAGTGGTTGACGCTTGACTTTGTTTCATGCCGCCAATACAACAATGCAGCATTTATCAAAGTTGTTGTTAAATGGGTCATGCGGCTTAATATAGCATCGTACGTTGCTGATGCATAGGTACTTGGCACATTGTTCATTCAAACTGTTGAATTTTTACAGGGTAAATATTTCTGTGCATAGATTATGTCACTGTGTTTGGAATTGGGAATGTTTTGAAGGGAATTGGAACTAATCTGTGTGACATTTCAGATCTGATGCCTTTAATAGTGAAATTAATGAAGTTCATCTCTTTCGATCTGTTTTGATAATGAGAAATATAACATATGCAAATACTAATGCACCATACCCTTGTGTCTGTTATTTTAGCATTGGAAATGTTGGAGAAAAATATATATATAAATAAAAGGAGGATAACAGACTGTCTACTGTGTCCGGCTTGATTTTATTTTAACATTTTGTGCATATAAATCAATAATTAAGCATGTGGTGATTCGATTCATCCTCAGTAGTCGTCGATATTCATCTGAATATGCAAACCACAATGTAAAAATAGCTTGACATGATGCTTTTATGAGTCAATGTTTGAATGGGTTCCATTCAAATCAATATCGGTGATCGCGTGCCTCCAATAAATGCTGCTTATTGATCGTCCGTCTGACTGCTACATGTGGCTGGGAGAAACCGTCTGTATAATGGAAGAGATGGAATAATATAAGATCCATCATGTGAATAATTAACTTCATTAGTTTCTTAGTCTTATGATTAGGGATAGTCAGCCTGCCAACGATACTGCTGACTGATGGCTCCATATTGGTGCGCTTGTGGCAAAACGGGGTATAGGATGGTGGGATAATGTAGGAGTGATGGATGAAGCTCCCCGTGCATCCATATGGTCGTTCTATTCTGGCAGCAAGTGCGGGGTGAGTTGATTCTCTCAGCTGATGGATTGATATCTATGGATGAAGCTCTGCAGGGTTTGTTTTTATGGTGGTCAGTCTCATATCTGGTGGATCTCATGTTGACAATGGGGGTGTTTAATTGGAGGAAGAGTGACTCAGAAGCATTAAATAAAATCTAATTTTAGAACTGTGTTTTAATTGAGACGTATCAGAATGACCCAACTGTAGGTGTGAATATGGCATATGTCCTTGTAAAAACAGTGGATTAGCTCCTCTATGGGATCAGAGAGTTTAACTTGTGTCATTTTGCAGTTATTCTGGCACTTTGGCAGTCTTATCAGCAGATGTATGAATCAATGTTCTTCGCCCGTGCCTGTCGATCCCACAATCCTATTTTCATTGCCCAGCTTTCATCTCTTTTTTTTCTCTCTCTCTCGTTCTTTCACACTCTCTCTCCTGTCTGTTTCTCTCTTTCTCTCTCATTTTTCCCTAGTCTTTTATCACTATAACCCTGAAGGCCACCAGATTATTCCACGTTCCTTCTGGCTGTTAGAGCTCTGTTTAAGAAGGTTATCGTGTATTTAGGGAAAGCATTGCAACCCTTGTCTGCACCTGGCTGTAAGTACAGTGATGAATTAGATATAATACCACAGTGTCATAGGCTCTATGTAATTCTGGCCTTTGGGTTATCCTACACGTCCCTCTTGCATACATCAATGAGACTCAAATAAGCCACAGTCAATACTGAAGTCGTCCTGCAATGCTACTGTCCAAAAGCCCTTTTTTGCTGGTCATCTTAATGGGCATACTTCCCCGTCTCATGTTTTGGTATTCTTACAGTAGGCAAATAAAACCAGAATGTATTGCTGAAATTTTCAAGGATGCAACCAGTGGATGCTTCGCTGTCCCATAAGACCACAGGAGCTGAGGAACTGTTGGGTCTTGTTGAAAAACTGGGGTGGACTTTTTTTTAAAGTCTAAGTGCTAAAAAAAGATGTTCCTCTTGGTTGTATTTTACTTATTAACATTTTAATAAATTGTTTTTGTGATTTTAGTATGTCATAAAACAATAATCAAGGGGGCAGGGGTGTATACAACAACATTTTTATTCTTTACCCAGACTTAGTCTGTTTGGTGTTATACTATACAATCTATTAATATAAAGTTTGTCTATTAACATGCAAATTTGTAAGGCATTATGATCATATCTTAGAGCTTGAGTGTTTTTTAATTTCTCGTGTTATTTAATTATGTATTTGTTTTAATGCAGTGCTTACTGTTATCTGCTTACCTGAAATGGGCTGAGGGAAGGCAAGAGAAACGCTACTTTCTGCTGTACCTCTAACAGCTGGGGTCGCTGTTAGGAAAAAGAAAATGAGTGATTTATACAATTTTTAATGTCATATTTTGTCAATTTTGCATTATTTTTCTACTGTTGAATATTTTCTCATCTAATTTTCCTGTAGGAAATGCCCCTGCTGAACTATGGGTCTGTCCAAGTACCCATATTTGCATTCTTGGCAACTTGAGATTATGTACATGTGACAGGAAGTAAGTGTGGAAGATTGTCCCAGGTCTGAAAAACACCAAAGCTCAGTGCCCTTAAAGAGTTACTCCACCCCAAAATGAAAATTTTGTCATTATTCACTTACCCCCATGTCGTTCCAAACCCGTAAAAGCTTCGTTCGTCTTCGGAACACAATTTAAGATATTTTGGACTGTCCCATTGACTGCCAAGTAAATTACACTGTCAAGGCCCAGAAAAGTATGAAAGACATTGTCAAAATAGTCCATCTGCCATCAGTGGTTCAATCTGAATTTCATGAAGCGACGAGAATACTTTTTGTACGCAAAGAAAATAAAAATAACGACTTTATTCAACAATTCGTCGTCTCCGCATCACCGTAGCGCCATTTTGGAGAATATCCACTGAACGCAAACTGCGTATGCTGTTCTGTGTCAGCCGCACCACACGGATACACTGTTTTCGTTCAAATCAAAGCGTAAATAAACGTAGAAAACGTATCCGTGTGGTGTGGCTGACACAGACAAGTAGAACAGTATACGCAGTTTATGTTCAGTGGATATTCTCAAAAATGGCGCTACGGTGACGCAGAGGAGACGAATTGTTGAATAAAGTAATTATTTTTTATTTCTTTGCGTACAAAAAGTATTCTCGTCGCTTCATAACATTCTATGACTATTTTGACGATGTCTTTCATACTTCAATTTTCAATTACTTTACGTCTTTAATAGATTTTTCCGTACATTTCTGCCATATGTACATTAACTGACAGTCACCACTGATAAGCTACCACTAAATATTGTAGAAACTTAATTTGCTGTAAAGTTGCTTTGCAACGATTTGTATCGTGAAAAGCGCTATACAAATAAACTTGAATTGAATTGAACTGAATACTTTTCTGGACCTTGACAGTGTATTTTACTTGGCAGTCAATGGGACAGTCACAAGCCTCCCAGTTTTCATCGAAAATATCTTAAATTGTGTTCAGAAGACGAACGAAGCTTTTACGGGTTTGGAACGACATGGGGGTAAGTGATTAATGACAAAATTTTCATTTTGGGGTGGAGTAACCCTTTAACACACTAAATCCATAATCTATATTTGAGGCTAAGCGTTTCCCATCATTCATCATGTTCTTGAACTTCAAAATCATGAGATGTTGAGAAAAACGTTCTAGTGTGATTTAAATTAATTCAATATTACACATAATAATTTGGTAGTAAAACGTAAAGTGTTGTCCATTGTATTGGTGCAGAGATGACTGTGTATTTTGCAAAACGTTTGCAACTACTTTTTGTCCCTTCACATCCACTTGAACACCTGAGCCAAATAGGTCAGGTGCAAATGTTGCATGTGTGAGTATGGGAACAGGCCCTATGTCATTGTGGCTCATGAATATTAATTAGGTGGTGTGGTTTTCAACCAATAGTGGCAACTGATTTGCTAAAAAATTTATTAGTTGCCAGTCTGGCTATTGAATGTTAATTGGTGATGACGTTCACCCAGCAGTCAACTGATTTTCCAAAAGCTGTTAAATTTGCAACCGGTTGGCTGAAAAGCTTGCCATCTAGCGTTACTTTTTTATATAGCCGGATTTTTTCTCTTCACGCTGTAAGCAAAATGAAACTCTTAGAAAAAGTTTTAAGTTCAGCAGTGGTCAAAAGGTAAGTTGTTTATCAGTTTCAGTGTAGGCCTATACTATGAAAGCAAGTCAAAGAATTCGGGTACAGCTTCGGTTTTATCACGACCTTTGTGGATTTCTGGGAGTTCTTCAAAATCCATCAGTGAGATAACGGCTGCTCACCTGGAAATGAATCCCCCGCCTGAAGATCTGACACTGCCTCGCAGCTCTTTGGACACGTCTCAAGGTCTATCTGTCTGTCCCTCACGCAGCTGTCTCTCTTATCTGAGTCAGTGGTGTGTTGGAGCTGAGAGCAAGGTGATTATGGAAGTCTGCGTGTGTGTTGAAGTGAGATTCAGGTTGTTTCCTCTCATCCTCGGGGGCAGCTGGCAGCAGAGTCCACTCATCCATCCCTGTGCTGGTAGGCCGGCAGCTCTTGTACCGCTGGGAGTTAAACAAGCTGTTTGAGACCAGGGCTCGACTCTTGGTCTCGCTCTCCCATGCCTGAATCTGTAAACCCAGTCCACTTCTCTTGTTCATTTGGAGTTGTGCCTTGTCATCATTATGTGCTTGACTTACACTATTCTGGTGCTTATTTGATCGGAGGGCTTGTGGAAAGACAGAAGCCTTCTCATTGGATTAGTCCGTGGGCATATTGCTACCCTGTCGAGTTAAGGCAGGAGGGAGAGAAAAGCTGCCTGTACTCAATGGAGTGCAAATGCCTAATTGGCTTTATTTATGTGGCTTCAATATGCAGCCATTTGCTTAATTTTCCTAGTGAGTGTACAATCCAATTTGCGAGCCTTGTTTATACTGTCTTATGAAAGGGGAGCTCTCACTGTGATGAGAGTATAATGGCAGTCTGATTGGAAAAGGTCACACTTTGCACGTTAATGCCGCCTCACCCGAGATCTGGAGCACACAAGTGGGAGTTATCGGCAGAGATTGGGTAAAAGGTGTTTGATTGCTCTGCAGTTCCTTGTGCTTCAGATTCACGGTTTATTTCAGGAAGCTTTTTTTACTACAAGCAGAGCCATCACCAACAGAGTTAGGGTTTGCACTAGATCAGGGTCCTGTCTGGGACCCCCAGGGGACACCAGGATGGTTGTTGTAGTAGGGGGTATGTGAAAGAAAATTGTTTAACTCTATAACTGCGTTGGAACAATTTTTAAAGTGAAAAGCACTGTACAAATAAATGTATTAATAAACATTATTACATTTTAATAAATTTCTTGGTGTCAACAATAACAATGTAAAGGATTTTTTTTAAATGGTTTAATATTCGTTTATTAAATAGTACGATTACATTTATTTAAATACATTTTTTATTAATATTATTAAATTTAATGGTTTTTTTTTAATAGTTATAGTCAGCATG